GTCCGGGGGGTGGGGCTGGCTCCAGGGCCGGAACGCTGCAGAGGGGAAGCCCCTCCCGAGGCGCCAGGCGGAGCCGGGCGAACCTTGACCCCACGGGGGAACCCGGGGAGCCGGGCTGGTGCGGAAGCGCCGTCACAGGGCGGAGGGAAACCTGACCTGATCGGAAAAGAGCGATCGAAGGCGAGGCTAATTTGTCCGCCGGGGTCTTCACTGGCTCCGTCTGCCCGGCGGGCGGGTTACGCGGGGGCTCCCGCCGCTCCAGGAAAGAGGAGAAAGATGGGGAGAAGGCTCTGTGCGCGCCCTGGGGACGCGGCCCGCCCGCCCCTGCACTTTGGGACCAGACTTTCGCGCCTGAGAGGTTAGAGGGAAGCTGAGACAGAGGGTTGTGTGAGAGACCGGTAACAGAAAAAGGAACGGAGATGTGAGAGGCGCGGAACGGAGACGGGAAGACCTGCAACCCGGCGAGGACGGCGGGCATCCTCGCCTTCCACCACCTCCCCAGATCGTCCGGCGACTCCAGCCTAATATGACACGGCTGCTCCGCCCCCGTTCCTGGAGGCTCCCCTTCCCTGTCCCTCGCCGAGGGGGAGGCGAAGAAGCCAGTTTTTGCCAGCTCTCTCCACCAAACTGCTAAGTTCACGATCCGCCCTGGGCAAGTTACAGAAACATATCAATGCTTCCAAGTTCTCATCTGTAAAATGGGCTTAAAAAGGATACCTGCTCATGGTGTTGTTGAAGGATTAATAAATTAACGCACGTGAAGTACTTGGAACAAAACCTCACGTGTGGGGAGACCTCAATACCTGTCAGATACCATTATTATTCATTTATCTAACGAACACTTGTAGAGCGCTCACTGTGTGTGGCCCTGCGCTTCATTCAGGGAGGCGGGAGGGAACTGGGTCTATGGAGCTTGCTCGCCCCAACTGCTTTTATTGCTGAATAAATAAACAGGGTGCTATCAAGGAGTAATAAGGGCTAAGACAGAAATTCTACAAGGTAGTCTGATGGAGGAAAGAAGATTTAAGGTAGAAAGAGTCGGCTAAATCCCTCCGCCCTTCTCTGGGCCTCAGTCTGTGGGCTCTGCGCTCCACATCCACGCTGAGGCAGTCTAACCCCGGGCCGAGAGTGGGTGGAGGGCGGGGAAAACGAGCCGGGGACCCTCATACCTGGCTCCTCCTCTGCCCGCTGGAGCCCCACCCCTCCCGGTGAAGCCTGCACCGAGTCTTTGTCACTGACAGCTGATGTTTGCCAGGAGTCTACAGAGGATCAAGGCTTGGGTCCAAGGAGCTGTCAGAGGGTCAAGCCTCTTAGTGGGAACTACACTTTGGCACCATGGACTCCTGAAAAGCGCATTCCTCCTTCCTTCCTAGCTAGGATGCACAGAGTGCAAAGAGATTTTTTTATGCTTCCTAGCTTGCCTCCGACACACACAGCTCTCACTACTCTCATTTTGTACACGATCAGATGGTGGCTTACAGAGGGAAACTGTTGATCGCACCTGACTCCAAATCTAGCAATTTGCCCCTGCAACATAACCTCTCATTTTTCTGAGTATAAGTAATACTTTAAAGAGAGTATCCATTAATGCCTACTATGTGTCAGGCCCTGGGCTTATGTGATTTCACTTACTCATGAAAGCAATCCTGAAAGACAGTCATTTTTTTTTTCTTTCCAATTTGACAGATGAAGTCACTGAGGCTCAGGTCAAGTCACTTAGTCAGGTAAGAGATGGAGAAGATATTCCACCCTAAGTCTGTCCACTCCAGAACTGGAGCAGTTTATATCTTAGCAGGAAAGTAAAATAACCCAGGCTCAAAGCAGGGCCAAGAGAGGGTCAGGCACACTCAACAGGGCACGGGTCACCGCCCCCCATCCTGAAGATTCCTCTTCAAGGTTCCCAGGGCCCATGTCACAGAGGACCCCATCTCTACCCATGATCAACACAGAGGGAGGCAAAGCCTCTTCTAATTTAAACAGGAAGGAAACATTGTCTTTGAATGGAAGCTTGATATGCAGACCACCACCTTGGCCCTGGCCTTACTCCTGACTTGTCTATTCTTGATGGTTTCTGTTTCTCCTTGTAGTCCCCAGAATCCAGAGAGGATTGCCCTAGAGGGGTCCTTTTATTTACAAAACTTCATTCAGTTATTCAACAGATATCAATTGTCTGCCACTCTGGACCAGATCCTGAGCTGGCATTGAGCTTGAAACCAACAAAACACACACCACCTGAGGGCAGAGGAAGTTCCTAGCCAGAGATCACACAGCCTGGACCCAGAGTTCCTACCTCACATTCTGGCTGCCAGGGCTTCAGCCATGCTGACTCGTGTATGTCTGGCTCATTGCGGGTCAGTCCCTGGTTCCAGCCAGGCAGGGGCCTAGAAGCCTTACTCTGGTCCACAGACAACTCTCAAAGTTCCACCAGGAGAGGCCAAATGCAGCTTTCCATACAAAAAGCCCTGAGAACTGGCCTTCCCTTCTCTTGGCACAGGCTAAAGAAACCCCTAGCTGGGCCTTTGGGCAGTGAAGGCCAAAAGATGGGACCTGGGAAAAGCAAATTTGCTCCACACTGCTTTTCAACTACTCTTCAAAAAATTTTTGTGCAGTTTTACAGCCATTAGCAGAGCCTTAGAGAGGTGATGTGACTTGCTCAAGGTCACGCAATTAGGAAATGACCCACCAGGATGCAAATCGGGCCTGCCTGAACCCCAAACCCGCTGGTACCCAGACCCCCTCCCTCGCCCCCCACGGCGTCCTGCTCCCGGCCACATACACACTCCACCCCTCGAGAGGTCTGTGCCTCCACCGGACGAATAACAGAGGCGACTGAACAATTCCGGAGAAACCGCAGCTCCCAGTGCTTCCTGGACAAGCCCAAAGAGAGAGGCATTGGCGCCGGCCGGGCGCACTCGGGGGGTGGGAGAGGGTGGGGCGCGGCGTGGACCCGGCCGCAGCTCCCGCCCGCAGGTAGAAACTTGTCAAAGTACGGTGCGCATACCGTCCAGGACGTCTGAAGCCGCTGACGCAGAAGCGCGGGTCCCACTCAACACCCCGCCCGGCCAACAGTGACACAGACCTTGCATTCAGGCGACTCATCGCGCCCTCTTCAAAAAAGACTCCCAAACTTTTGATGTTATTAATACAATAAACAAATAAATAAGCAAATAAAAAACATCAGGGAACTTTTCGAAAAAGGAGATGGAGGCTGATATCGAGTTCTTCCCCGGGCCAAAAAAGCCGAAGGTTCTTACCTGCAGGAAAGCTCGCAGCCCGCAAAGGCGCGTCTGTCTGCAACGCTTCGCTTCGGCGCGGGACTTTCACGGCCGCCTGCTCTGTAGCCCGGCTGGGCTCCAGCCCTGTGTTTTATACCACTATAGGCAATTAATATTGCATCAGCCGTATTTTAAATTTTCAAAACCCACAATATAATGTAATGGCATAAGGGCATTTATTATTAAAGGACACCCGATGGAGGGGAGGTGGAGGAATCGCTGGGGCTGTTGCGCAAGGCGGCGGAGACGAGCTGAGGTCCAGGGACTGGGGGCGATCCCCAGGTTTGCTTTTGCAGTAGGGGGGCGTGCTGCGCGGAGGGAAGACCTGCTCTACTCCGAATTTCAGGCCGGACGTGATGACCCAGAGTTCTTTGAAGACACGGTGGAGAAATGTACAGAAGACTTCTGGGCTTGGAACATTCATTTTTAAATCATGAAGGTGTTTCTGCGGCTCACAAATAAGATTTCCTCCCCCTTTTAGAGTGTGTCGAAGAGAGAGGGAGAAGGAAACTGGCATCTGTTAAGCACCTATTGTGAACAAGCACTAAGACAGGATCTTTGCGGCAGGTATCTTTTTACCACCGCTACCCCCATACACCACCACCACCCCCCCCCCCACACACACACACAGAAGCCAAAATAGACGCTGGAATAACCTCCTGGACGGTAATTCCAAATGAGTTTCTTAAGTAATCCCAGAGAAGTCCTAACGACTCTGTCCCAGCAAAGAACACCTTCCTCTCTCTTTGCATCTCTCTGCTCACCTCCCACCTAGCCGTTTGAATCTTTTAAAATAATGGTTCCTACTAAGTGCCAAGCACTACCAGACGCCTTAAATAAACAATCTTCCTCAGTCCTGACAATAACCTTGTGATAAGTATTAGCGTCTTCATGCTGCAGACAACCAACGGAGACTCAGAGACGTTTAAGAAACTGGATTCAGGATCATTCAGCCAATGAGTGGAGGTACTGGGGGCTCCTACTCCCATTAGTCAGGCCTAAAAGTTTTCGGTCTGAGTCAAGTTGAACAAATAGAAGCTGACAGATTTGCACTCGGGGAAGTGTGGAGGAAGTGTGGAGGAAGGATCTGGAAACTCTGAGGTCCAGGGAGGGTCTGGGTGAGAAGATAAGGCACCCAAGGGAAAGGAGAAAGGAGAAATAATTGCAGAAGATTGGCCTGCTAGAAATGACAGTTCAGCCCTTCTGGGTTCTCACTTCTAAATCCTTTCGGAGACTAGTACTCCTTAACCTCCGAGAAAGTAAAGTACCGCGATTCGGGTTGAAAAATAAAGCATTTATTTTAGAAGTTAATTCAAGGGGTAAAGAGAGAAGGAAACAATATTTTATTTGCATCTATTCGGACAACAAAACCAAAGGTCACACAGCAACACGCAAATTACATGAAGTAACGAAAGATAAAATGTGACGGGGCCAGAGGGACTGGGGTAAAAAGGACCCAGGCCAGTGGTTTGGCCCCACGATCAGCTCAAAACTATTAGTGAACCTCCACCAAGAGGTTGGGGGATGGAAAAAAGTGGCGGTAATAAATAAGAGTAAACAACGATGCGAACAGTAACAAAAGCGCAACGAGGTGAGCCCTGTTAGAAGGACTTGCATATGCTCCGGAGAGTTACAGTTACTTTCGTTCGGGCAGCCGCCTCTACGCTGCTCTGAGAGTCTGGAACAGGGAGCAAGGGTCAGAGAGTCCTCAGTCCGACCGGAAAGCTACCAATCCCCCGCCTTCCTGCAGGCAGTCTTTACCCCTCGAACGGCCAGCAGATCGTGGAGGATGGGCCACAGCAGGGGCCGGCGGCTGCTTGCAAGCCAGCTACAGGATTCCAGCATTTTCAGTCGCTGAAAAGGGCCCACTTTTTCTGTAATCCACCTTATGGCGGAGAACAGCTCGGAGCCGGCAACTCTCTGCACATTTTCCCTGAACCTAATCCATGCTACCTTAGAGAACTTACAGCAAACCAAAGGATGAGATGGATAGAATTTAGGTGGGGAGGGGAGTATAAGGCTATCCTTTGGAAACATACGTGTATTTTATATACTCTAAATAAATCTCCAGTACATGTTTGTGCCCCACTTAGACTTTGTATTATTACTTATCACTTCCTTCCCATCCCTTCACCCCTTGTCTAATCACGCTAAGCCAAGTGATGCCTTCACGCCAGAGTCGTGCGGTCGGGCTAACTGACTATCCCTTGCTTTTGGGCTCCTGCCCTGAGGTCGCGCAGTCCTGGGCGCGAGGGAGATTTTCAGCACCACGGAGAGCACAAGTCCCTCCAGGCCTGCCTTTCCTGAATTTTTTTCTTAGCGCCCAAACTTTTCTGGTGGGAACAGAACGGAAAGAAGGGAAAGAGAAGGCCGGGAGGCAACCAATTAGGATAAAGGGGAAAGTCTGTGACTTCGGGGGTGAGAGCCTGACCTGCCAGGAAACGTCTTGGAGCCCCCATAACCGTTCCCCCCCAACTCCAGGGGGACATACACTCAGCTCTCCCGGCCCCGGACGCCGTGCCCCGTCGCAGTCAGTGGACAGCCGAGTACTTCATTCGTTTCTGTTTCTGTCTCTGGTTGCAGAACCAGACCCTCACCACGTTCTTTTTAAGGTCCAGTTTCTCGGCGATGGCCGCGATCTTTTCGGATGAGGGCCGCGGCTGGATCGCAAAGTAGGCCTCCAGGGAGCGCTTCTCCGGCGCCGCGATGGACGTGCGTTTGCGCTTCCGCTCGCTGCCATTGAAGAGCTCCGGCTTGCTGTTTTTCTCTCTGTAGGCGGCCTCGGCTTCCTCCAGCCAGGCCTGGAGTACCGGCTTGAGCGCGATCATGTTGTTGTGCGAGAGAGTGAGAGACTCGAACCTGCAGATGGTGCTCTGGCTGAGCGAGCCGACGCCGGGGATCTTGAGGTTGGCCAGGGCCGCACCCACGTCCGCCTGGGTCACCCCTAGCTTGATGCGCCGCTGCTTGAAGCGCTCAGCGAAGGCCTCGAGCTCTCGCGGGTCCGACTCCACGTCGCTGAGGCAGGCAGGCATAGCGCTATGAGGCGCCACGGCATGTGGGTGGCTCATGCCCATGGCCTGATGCAGGTGGCCCATGGCGCCCAGGTGGTGCGGGTGGATCTGGGCCGGCATCACCGAGTGCTCGGGGGCGCCCAAGCCGCTCACGCTCAGCGTGGGCGAGATGTGCTCTAGCAGGTCGCCCTCGAGGCCCTGGTGCACGGCGTGGTGCGGGTGCGAGGTGAGCGCGGCCGGGTGGGAGATGGGCACGGTGGACGAAGTGGACGTGCAGGGCACGCTGCTCATGGTATGGTAGGTGGCGTCGGGCTTGAACGGGTGGTTCTTGCCGTGGGAGACGATATCCACCGCCGCCAGAGCTTCGGCGCGTGCCAGCAGGCTCTCATCAAAGCTTCCAAATATATTGCCCTGCAGCTGCAAGCGAGAAGGCGCACAGCACGGTCAGTGGGGAATACTGTCAACTCAGGATTAAAACACATTTTCAAGCAACCGAGATGCCTCTCCTCAAAGCCCAGGTCATAAAAATTAATACGGAGACAGAGGCTCTGCTGGAACAGACGTGTGGATCAGAGACATGAATGAGAGAGAGAGCGCGCCGGGAGAGAGCGCGGGGGAGACAAGGAGAGGGGTTCAGACAGCGGCGATTGTTCTGGGCGACATGAAAAAAACATGAAGCAAGTGCCTGTCAAAAAATGTGCCTTAGAGCGGTAATTATGCTCCACTACCTACCTGCGGGGCTGGGAGACAGACTCGGCGCATGGCCTCGGAGCCGGAGTGCAGGCTGGAGAATTTGGGTTCTTGAAGCACCGGGTGCATGCCGAAAGGCTGCTTGGCGTTCATGGCCATCATCTTCGCGCGCCGGGCAGGGAGGCAGTGAGGGACATGGATCAGGCTCTTCTCGCTTGCTCGCCGCGCTCCAAGTGAGCGCCGCTCAGCGCCAGCGCTCCCCTCGCCCTCTCGCTCGCTGCCTCCCCTCTCCCCCACCTGCTTCTTCACTCATCTTACAAGCAGCCTGCCAGGAAGGGCCCGGGCGCGCGCAGGCGTGCTCACGCGCCCGAGACTCGCAGGGGCGGCCCGGGAGGCGAGGCCAGGAGGCAGCTCTCCCCGCGCCTCTCTGCGCGGGCCCCCGCCGCCCCCGCCCCAGCGTTTATAGCCCTTCCCGGCCGGGCCTCCCCGCGTCAGCCCCGCCCCGCCCGGCTCCAGCCAGCAGACCTTCCGGAACCTTACTTCTTCTTTGGGGACTTTTTCCCCCCAAAGTCCCAACCTTTCCATCCTGTCCCAACTCGCACAAGCCAGACAGAAGGGCAGCCGTGGGGCAGGAAGCTGACCCTACCCCAACCCACCGCGCGCGCACACACACACACACACACACACACACACACACACACGCACACTCACTTTGTCGGCCCGGCTGCCGCCAAACTGCCCATTTCCAGGGCGCTACTGGCCCCACGCCCGAGCGGTCCACTGGAGTCCGGCCCAGCCGCGCAGCTAAGAGGCGCCTCCAAGCGCCCAGGCGGGCTCCGGCGAGGATGAGAAACCACCCGGAGCCCCAGTGACCTCCACCCCCCAGTCGGCCGCGCCGGTGGATGTGGGGAAGTAACTGCCTGCCCAGGCCCGGAGGCCTGAGGCCTCTTCCCCGCACTTATCTTTCTTGCCTTCGCTTGAAAGGACAATTTGTCCCCCCAGCTCCGACTCCCCAACCAGCCGACCTAAGGACAGCCTAAAATTCAGAGTATTTTTTAGAGTGGTCACCGTTCAGGACTGCCCACCGGCCTTGGGAGTGGGTGAACAGATTTCTCTTGGGCCGCTGGCGCTTACAAGCCCCATTCCCCAGACAACAGCTTTCATTTTTAAGTTCCTACTATGTGCTGGGCAGTTTAGAGTGTCAGCCTGTGATGTGCTCACACCCTGCGGAACTGGGCTGTGATGCCATTTTACAGACGAGGAACACGCGCGTCGGTGGGGTTTGTGCCAAGGCAACACGACTGGTTGGGAGCTGAGCCACTCACTCGTTCCGTGGTCGTTCTCCGTTTTCCACACATATTTACTGTCAGCCTCCTGCGTGCCAGGCGCCATGTCTGACGCCCCAGGATCCTAACCGCTTGGCTACTCTGTCTTCCTTCCCGAAGTTTCCTTCCCTTGCGCCCCGGCGTTAGTGCGGCTCCGCCCCCTCCCGTCTGCTCCCGGCTCCTTCCCTAGTTTCTCCCCGTCTCTCCTCGCCTTTCCCCGCTCTAGTAAACAGCGTGAATAATGCATGGGGAATCCTGGGCCCGCGGCCGTCCGCGCCGCCCTCCGGGTCAGGAGAGAAGCCCTGTGCGCCCAGCTGAGCCCACCTCGCCGCCGCCTCCACAGCGGGGCGGCCTTCGGGTTTCGGTGATGCTGGCAGCCGCGCCAGAGGGTGTGAGTCGGGATTCCCAGAAGGTTAACGGAGTGGGGGTGGGGGGTGGCGGTGGGGTGAAGGGGCCACCCTCAAGCCTAAGAGGAAACGCTGCCAGGCCCGGCCTCCCCCGCCTCCGGTCCTGCCAATCCCCCATCTCCTGGCCTGGATCCCGCCCTCCAACCCCAGAAGCCACGCGCCGCCCTTTCACTAACCCTTTCTCGGCCTCGGTTTGCCGAGCTCTGAAATGGGAGTTGCCCTGCTGTTTGCTTGCCTTCCTGGGTTCTGGTGAAGAGGGTTCCACCCGGAGTAGAACGTAAAGTACTCAGTCAACTTCCTGAACAGCCTGAGGCTTGGAGGCGCAGGCTCTAACCTCGGATCTTGCTGGCGGAGAGACCAGGAGCCCACCTTAGAGTCTGCATATGGCACTTTGCTCATCTGTCACTCTCCTGCTCTGATGGTTGTGGGGAATGCACAGATAAGCATTTGGTACCGTGCTTGGCGCACTGAAATCATGGACTGAACGCTTATTACTTTCTTCCTTCTCCCTCAACTTAGAAATCTGTTGGGAGCAGGAGTGGCCTGGGTCCTCTCTCTGGAGAATGGTTTGTCTGCAGGAGCAAGCTGGTTCCTTGCTGTCCTCTGTTCACCTGCTTTGCACCACACCCCATGGCGAGGGCTGGGACACAGATGCGAATCAGACACCATCTCTGCCCTCACAAAAGCACCAGTCTAAAATCCACTTCAGGAAATAGTCTCATGCACAAGAAATTGACTATCTCAGCCACACAGAGCAAGGCTGATGGGATTCTTAAAGTATAGGGTACACACAAGAACCATGGGCCTCGGGAAGACCAGGCGTGGGATAGTATTCAAACACTGGATGGATGTGACCCTGGCTGGGCCTCAGTTTACCCAGGAGAGAGGGCTGGACTGCTGCTGCTGCTAAGTTGCTTTAGTCATGTCTGATTCTGTGCACCCCCATAGACGGCAGCCCACCAGGCTCCTCCGTCCCTGGGATTCTCCAGGTAAGAACACTGGAGTGGGTTGCCATGTCCTTCTCCAATGCATGAAAGTGAAAAGTGAAAGTGAAGTTGCTCAGTCGTGTCCGACTCTTTGTGACCCCATGGACCGCAGCCCACCAGGCTCCTCCGTCCATGAGATTTTTCAGGCAAGAGGACTGGAGTGGGGTGCCATTGTTCTCTGGACTAGACTACTGCTAAGCCCTTCCAGCTGAAGCAAAAGACTACTGTTTGGTTAATTTAAATTCAACACATTGTGAGCAATTCGGGAGCTTCTCTCCAGGAATTCTCAACTCCCTAGTAGCTAAATGTAGCATTATTTGATCACTCAACAGCATTTAGGACCACTTGTTCTTGTTTTCTGCACAATACTAGAAGCCAAAAGGAAAAGGGGAGTGGGAACCTGGTGATACTGGATCCTTCAGGGAAAAAAATCTACAACTTGCCTCGCCTTATGGTGCCCTGAGACCCTAGTTATCTGTGAAGCTGAACCCCCCAGAAATGGAGGGAAAAGCCCATCTACATCCATTCTTCCCTGTTTTGTCTCCCAGCGGCCTGGGACATGCTGGCCAGTGTCGAGGTCAAGCAGAGGTCAGAGAAAGAACAAAACTAACTAGCCCCTTTAGGCCTCCAGTGCAGACGTTCGGCTCACCAACCCCCACTCCAACATCCTGAGGCATTAGGATCACAAATCAAAAGCCATGCTTGCGTCAGGCAACCTGTGTTCCCTGGGTTTTTCCCACCCTGCTCTTCAGGAGGGTCTACCAGCAGCTCCAGGCAGCCAGCAGTAAGATGACACCCATCCCCAGGGACCAGTCTTAGTGAGAAGGCTCTGGAGACAACAGAAGAAGGGAGAGACCATTCAGAAAGCAATTGGAAGGAGAGCCCCAGAACACAGTCAATAACATCATCTATACTGTACAGAATTTGCAAACTTAAATTGTCAGGGGCAAGTCTGGTAAAATTAATTAGCTGGGTGTATAAAAGGGAGGACTATGGCAAATTGGAGAGCACATGTCCCCACCCTCACCCTCATGGTGTTAAATTACAGTTAAAGCACTCACACACACACACAAACATCATGTATGGACTAAGTAAAATCTGTCTGAGAGCCAAGGAAGGACCACATGGCCATTTACACAAATGGGGGGCATAAAGGGGGCATTTCCTTCATTGTACAATCATTTCCAAATACTTGCTGAATACATATTGAGTCTAGAAAAAGGTACAGATGAACCTATTTACAAGGCAGGAATAGAGATGCAGATGTAGAGAATGGACATGTGGACGCGGCGGGGGCTGGGGCAAGGATGGGGAGGGTGGGATGAATGGGGACAGTAGCACTGACATCTATACACAGCCATGTGTAAAATGCATAGATAGTGGGAAGCTGCTAAAGAGCACAGGGAACTCAGCTCAGTGTGGGTGGAAGGGAGGCTCAAGAGGAAGGGGATATATGTATACAGATATTAATAGCTGATTCACATTGTTGTATGGCAGAAACTAACACAACACTGTAAAGCAATTACATGTCAATAATAAAGTTTAAAAATAATAATAATACCTGCTGACAGCTGGGCCTTGTGATAGGTTCTGCAGGTATAGAGCACACTGCTGGGGGGCTCAGAGTCAGTGGGGCACTAGAACGGCTACATGTAACTCTAAGTCAGGACACAAAGCACTATGTTCTCTGGAAGGACTAGCCCCAGAACGGGAAGGGAGGCATTTTCCCTGTTGGTCACTAGTTTTCAGCTTTACTATGAGTAGGAGTTATCTGCGACCTCTTAAAATACAGCATCCTAGGACCACATGCAGAGATTGACTACAAGGACTAAGGTGCTTTTTAACAGACATTCATGATTTACATACAGATGTTCTGGGACCATCAACTCAAAAAACTTGGTTTGGACACTTGCAATCTGATAAGGATGGTGTTAAAGCCCTGACATAATTGTGCAAGTTTCACCAAGACTCAAACAGAGAGTGTTCCTTCTTTCAGGCTTTTTGCACCTTCTGTTATATCTTGGGAAGAACATGATGTTTTATGGTCTCTGCTTCTTGAAGGACCCTGGGACTTCTTTGAAGATGAGTCTTATTTGTCACTGTGTTTACAGGTACAGGAACCACGCAGGATCTTAATATAATGATTTGTGTTGAATGAATGAATGCATGGATAACATCCTCGCCAGGCCTCTGGCCTGTTATGATGGTGACAAGAGGAACCACACAAGAGGTTCCTTATGTGCCAGGCTGTGGGCTAAGTGCTTTAGAAGTATTGTACACTGAATCCCATCAAGCCTGTCAGGTTGATATCATTATCTCTATATTACAGATGAGAAAACTGAAGCTCAGAGCAATTGAGTTGCCTAAAGCCAGTTGAGCATGGCAGAGTAGGGATAGGAACTCAGATGTCTGACTCCCACGCCCACACTGAAAGTTGACTAACATACTGGGCTGGCACCACCCCAGACCAGGGGTTGAGGGAGCGGGGTGAGCTGGCCTTTACTTCTTTCTCAGAAGGCCTTGCTTCCAGAGGCTCAGAGTCTGGCTCTGCTCCAGGCTAGCTTCCGGCTTAGGCCTAAGAGAAAAGACAGCAGCTACCCCCTCCCACCTCCGTCTCTGGCCAAGCTCTACCCTCCAGATCTGGGGAGAGACAAAAGGGATGGAACAGGAGATGGCCCCGAGAGAATGGCCCGAACTCAAGATGCCATCGCGGGGAGGCAGCTGGCGGGGCTGCCTGGCCAGGTGTTCGCAGCCGCCCGCCTCGCCTGCCTCTTTCTCTCATTTCCTTTCACAAAGTTCTCACATATACCCGCCGCCTGCGCAGCTGCTGTGGACTCGCCTGTCGGCCGCTCGCCTCACATTGTCTGCGCTGGCTCGGAAGATCCGAGATGCCCAGAGGGACTCGGGACCCTGGAGCCGAGCATCCCCTCTGTGACGGGCCAGCACGCGCCTGGAGCCCTCCCTTGACCCTGGGGTCCACTCTGCAGCCCAAGCGCTGGCTGTCAGACTCAAGGCAGGGCCTGAGTTTCCTTATCTGAAAAATGAATGGGCCGAGCCAAGGGAGCCCCAAGAGCCCTTCTCCATCATGCATTCTTTCATTGGATACATTTATTGAGTGCCTACTATGTGGCAGCCACTATGTTAGGAGACAGGAATTCAGCTGCAAAGGAAACAGTCCCCAGCTTTCACCTACGACCCCTACTACCCCTACCCGCCACCAGCTGATGCTTCAGCAGAAGATGAGCACTAAATAAAGAAAGCCTTCAGTAGTGAGAGCTGCTACAGAGAAAATAAACCAGAGTGACAGAACAGAAAATGCAAGGACAGAAAAGGGAGGAGTAACCTTTGAATCAAGACCTGAAGGAGAAAATAGAAGATAATGGGGAACAGCATATGTGAAGGTCCTGAGGTGGGAGCAAGTCTGGGGCATTCAGGGAAGAGCAGGAAGGCTGGTGGGGGTGGGGGGAATATGGTGGGAAAACTGAGGACGGACATGGAGGATGGCAAAAAAAAAAAAAAAAAAAAGAGCAGCTGCTGGAGTTTGCAGCGAGGTTGGGTTTTGCTCCAGGGAGAGTGGGGAGCCACCCGAGCATTGAAGCAGGACAGTGATAGGATTTGAGGTCTACTTCTGGTGATTTGTAGGAATTGGGTGCAGTGATCCGGAGTGGAAGAGAGAGACCCCACATTTTCTAGGTTTAATCCTTGGCTTTATGGGGAATCTGGGTCAATGGTTTGAATCTGAGGTGCCATTCCCTAGAGAAATCTTCCCCCACCCATACCCAGTATAGTTCCCCTATGTCTTTTCTGAGCTCCAGACACTGTCACACGTGTCGTGAGCAGCATGGCCAAAATGGGGATTTTCCTGGTGGTCCAGTGGTTAAGTGCCTGCCAGGGCAGAGGACGCAGGTTCAACCCCTGGTCCAGGAAGATCCCACATGCCATGGGGCAGCTAAGTCTATGTGCCACAACTACTGAAGCCGACACACCTAAAGCCTGTGCTTTGCAACAGTAGAAACCACCACAGTGAGAAGCCCGCACACCGCAGCTAGAGAGTAGCCCTGGCTCACCACGACTAGAGAAAGTCTGCATGCAGCAATGAAGACCTAGTGCAGCAAAAAATATATAAATAAAAAATAAACACATGGTCCTTGCACATGAGGACTGGTCTTGCCTTCCTCTTCTCCAGTTCATAGGTAGCTCAGAATTCAAAGTCATAAAGTCAACTCCCCCATGGCCTGGTTGGTTGTCATCTCTTCCATGGCCAAAGGATTAGGCCATTTCTTTTACCCAGCCAGCGTGGCTGTGAAGAGGCAGCAAGGGGTGGTGGACAGGGTACAGGAGATGTGTATTCAAACATGAATATGTAACTAACCTGCTGCACAACCCTGGACAAGTCACTCGAGGACTCTGGGCCTTATCACTATAAGAGGGTCAGGACTGAAAAGTTAGGCCTTTTCAGTGTGGATGTGTCAAGGTTGTAAGTGTAGATCTTGGGAGAAAGTGTAGAGGCTAAATCCATCGCCATAAATAGAAACCACATTCTGATGGTTCTCCACATGCTCTGTAAGCAAAGCAGGGGCCTCCATTGCTTTATGCATCCACCACATGCTTGCTGAGCACCTACCCTGTGCCTAGCATGTGCCAGGTCTGGAGATATGATGATAAACAAGGGATACATGGTCACTGCTTCTAGTAGCTTGGCGTCTGCTGTTATCTTATTCAGTCTTCACAATACTCCCTAGAAAAGAGCATCATCCCCTCCCTTTTCCTTCTCCGTAAGGACACTGGCTCAGAGAGATGAAGTAACTTGCCTATCAGTCACAGCTCAGCGTTTCCTACTCAGCCTGGTTCTGTGCATTATGTCACTTAGTCCCCACAGCCGCCCTCTTTAAGACTTAGGTACCATTTTTACCTCTGTTTCTCAGAGGGGAACCCTGAGGCTCAGTCAGAGACGTTAAGTGTGTTCCTCGAGGTTGCTCAGGAGTAAGTGGCAGGACAGGAATAGGATCTGAACTCAGGTCTGCTGCCCAGAAACCACAAGCTTTCCTGCGCACACTAGACTCTCCAGGAAAATGGGTTGACACTTTCTGTCACTTGTTCACTTCCCTTTAAGCCCTGGATACAGCAAAGAGAAGTGGAACCATTAACCAGCCTCTGTAAATTAAAAAAGAAAAAAAAGCAGAAGGAAAAGAAAGGTAGAAAAGAAAAAGAACGAGGGAAAACAAGTGAAGGCTTTGCTCCCATCAGGGGGGAAATCGGCGTCTTGTCGCCTAGCTCCATGCCCTGATTTATGATAAAAAATTTAGAGGAAATCATTTATATTTTAAAGGATCTAAATAGCTGCATGAAAGTTTCATCTAAAGTGCCACTGTATTTATAGGCAGTTCTTCCATGCTGGAGGTAATTAATAGATGTATAAATCGCAGGGCTCCCGGCTCTCCTGCCTTCAGGGCTGGATGGCCACTCGGGCCTTGGCACTTGGGGACCGAGTGGGAGGGGGCAGGGAAGCAACTGCAGAGACGTGCTCCAAACAAGCCCCGGCCACACCCCCTGTTTTGTGAGACCTTCACTGGGACCAGGAGCTATTTCACATTAGACTGGCAGATGCAACCTCAGTTTGGGCTACAGTTCCTGGCCACCTGATGTCTAAACTCTTTCCACGTCTGTCCAGAAAGAGCTCAAAGGTTCAGCCCCCCTTCCCTCTTTCCTGCCCTGGGGCCAGCGCCAGGGGATAGGCTGCACCTCTCTGGAGGGCTTATAACTCTGCTAGGTCCTGGTGAATGAAATCTTGGGCTCCCTCGCTCCCCTTCCCCAGCTTTAGCCAGACTCCCATTTCCCTGTGTGTGCCCCCCAGCTCAAGGACACCAGGCACTTGTTTTGGAAAAGGAAGCCAGTTGCGAGAGGCCCGAGGCTCTCGACTTACTTTAATTAAGGCCCTGAAATATTGATGGTTTTGGCTCTCTCTGTGGCTGCCACACCTTACAAGCCGGGAGAGAAGCCCAGGGATGAACAAGTTAAGGAGAGCCAGATGGTTTCCCTTCAGAAACGCCATACAAAACTTACAGAGGTGTCACCACCCTAGTTTAGCCCGGAGCGCTTAATAATTGATGGATCTCCTGAATTCAAAAAGAAAAAATCCACCAAAGTGGAAATAACAGGGATGACTCACTGAAGGTTGAAACTTTGGGAATGGGGAAGGTGTGCTTACCTAGTGGGCTGAGAGTGGACAGCCTGGGGAACAGAGAACAGCCCCTGTGGCCCTCTTCCTCCGTCTGGGTTCCTTCCAGTAGCGCCATGTTGAACAGCTTTCTGTCCAAGGGTGGGACAGATAGAACCTCTCCATCTAAACACTCTTTTCTTTTCCTTGTGAGACCAAGGGTGGGCATTCTTTACTGAGAAGAAACTGTCTGATTTCTTTTGAAATCTCTTTAACGTCCCATGCTCTGATAATGTACCCCCCAAAGGTGGACTTAAACTCACACAGCCATCTATTTACTCCACCATTAAATTTAAACTGGAGGATAAATATGTGTCTGTGGGTTTTTTTGCTTGCCCTGTGGCCCTAAACACAGCACAACTGAAAGGGCTGCCATTCTGGGGCATCGAGAGTATCTTCACCAAGTAGATTCACCTATGAGATTTAGAAAGGGAGTGATGTTGATGCTAGAGGTGGTGGTGGTGGAGACCTTGTCTTCCAAGGCCCATGTCTTCTGTCTGGTCTAACCCACTTCGGTGAACTGGGGTCAAAAGTTATCTCAGCTTTCAACAAAATTTGATCTTGCCACTGACATATTTTAATATATTAGTCCAGAAGGGTTTTACAGATGGCTGCTTTCTTTGCTAAAATGCATCACTTTACAAACAATACAAAACACTATAAGCAAATACTATCCCCTTCCACTTCTTCTTATGTATATTTATCTATAACATTTTATTTCTTAGTTTTTCAACATAACAAAACAATGAAGGTCTGACCTTATGAGTTGGTTTAACATCCAAGTTCTAGTAGGTTAGAAATATCACTGGTGGGTCAGTGGTAAAGAATCTGCCTGCAATGCAGGAGCCGCAGGAGACATAAGAGATGCCAGAGCTGAGGGTTCAGTCCCTGGGTTCGGAAGATCCCCTGGAGCAGGAAAAGGCAACTCACTCCATTATTCTTGCCTGGAAAATTCCATGCACAGAGGAGGCTGGTGGGCTACAGCCCATGGGGTTGCAAAGAGTAGGACATGACTGGGCACACACACACACACACACACACACTCTCTCTCTCTCTCTCACACACACACACACACAAAGAAATACAGGTAATCTGGAAGCTCTTTTCCACTGTTTTTTTTCAGAACTTTCTTTTCCCTCTGAAAATGGCAGTTCATCCATTTCTTCTGCTCTTGTGTCCTACTTCCCGAGCAGTGTAGAGATTTTTGCATGCAAATGGAGTCTTTTAAAATTTAAAAGCAGGTCTGGTGGCAAATAGAAGGATATGGAAGTGACTGTCATATTCTAAAGGGCTGTAAGCCTCCATGATAGAGTAGGTGGGTCCTCTGTTACATTTCATTTCACATTTATAACCTGCTTATTCTCCAAAGAGCGTATTATACATAATTGGCCAGATTCAGTGCCATAGGAAATGACTACATCCTTTGTAAATAAGCAGTAGGTCTTCCGGATAGTTGAGACTTTGAAAACGACTATGAGTGGGAAGTGGCCATGTGATAGGGAATGGGCAGAGGATTTGGGGAGTCATGGAAGCCTTTTCTGAGTTGCTAAGACCTTAAAAGAAGGAACCAGTCATATGATAAGCTCTGGGGAGAGTTTCTAGGCAGAGAGAGAGCAGTAAGCTGGGGATGAGTGTGCATGTCCAAAGACCAGGAAGGAGGCTACTGTGGCTAGAGCCAATGAAATGAGAGGGAGAAAAGGGAGAGGAGTTTGGAGAGGTGAAAGGGTTAAATAGGATGTTGTAAACCGTG